TGACACATAACCCATCCAAAAGAAATAGCTAAAGTAAGAACAGTACAGACAGTGGTGGGTTTAATCACTGGACTAAACGTTTCAGAAAAATCCACACCGGCCTGCTGATTAAAACCCTGAGCAACTAGTCTTGCCTTGTGGCGCTCAATGGACCCATCAGAAAGATATTTCGTCTTATAAATCCACTTAGATCCAACAATATTTTTTAGAATTATCAAACGGTACCAAATCCCAAATGTGGCTAACAATAAGTGAATTAAATTCCTCTGCCATAGCCTGATGCCATTTCAATTGTTTATTTGCATCAGCAAAACAAGTGGGATCGGTTGAAATAACAACTGTGTTCAAATTAAAAATAGATTTGTGTTTGAAAATCCCTGATTTTTCCCGAGTTTGTATCGGGTGGACATTAATGGGAGCAGTAGATGGCGGTGCAGGCACAGGATCATTGTCGGGAAAGGTCGAGATGGGGCTGCTAGTTACTGTGGAATTGGATGCAGGAGGTTGGGTCACTGGTGGAGGTGTTTGGGGCGACGGAAAGGAGATGGTTGTCTGGTCGGTGGAGGATGTTGAGTGGGCTGGGTCGTGGGTGTGGGTGAGATTCAGGGAGCCAGTTTGCCGAGAAGGTGGATGTAGGCTAGGAGATGATGTGTTCCATAATGGAAGAGGTAGAGATGGTACGGTGGTGTGGTTTGTAGAAGAGGGAGGAGCAGACACAGAAGAGGTCAAGATGGTGAAGGGAAAAATGTTTTCATGAAAACGCACATGACGACTAATGTAAACCTTGCCAGTAGTAGGATCAAGATAACGATATCCTTTATAACCAGATGCATAACCAAGAAAAACACATTGAATTAATCTAGGAGAAAGTTTATTGGATGATGTGGCAGAAATATTCGGAAAACAAACACAACCAAAAACCCGTAAAAAAGAATAGTCAGGGGATTTGTGAAATAATTTTTCATAAGGAGAGAGACCAAATAGTATTGGAGTGGGTAATCTATTAATAATATATGCAGCCATAAATATAGCATCAACCCAATAGAACTAGGAAGAGAAGCCTCAATAAGCATTGTCCTAGTAAGTTCAAGTAGATGACGATGCTTACGCTCAGCAACCCCATTTTGTTGTGGAGTGTGAGGACAAGATTTCTGAAAATAAATTCCATTAGAATCAAAAAATCGTTGCATATTAAAATTAATAGATTCACCCCTTCCATCACTTTGAAAAATTTTAATTCTAGAGTTAAAAAGATTTTCCACTAGAGATTTAAAAATTTTAAAATGATCAAAAACCTCGATTTTGGTGCACATTGGGTAAATCCAAGTAAAACGAGAGAAGTCATCAATAAATGAGACATAGTATTTAAACCCCAAATTAGAGAGCACAAGAGACTGCCACACATCAGAATGAATTAAATGCAAGGGTGATGAAGAAGTGTGATTAACATTGGAAAAAGGTAATAGTTGAGACTTGCCTAACCGGCAAGAAGTACAATCATGGGAAAAAGTAGAGCTATTACATATGCGTTTTTCAGTGCTAAAAGTACGTAAAATATTTTCAGCACAGTGACCTAATCTACGATGCCACACAGGGCCAATGGTGACTACGGAAGATAATGCTAGAGTAGATGGTGGGCACAGGCTGAGAGGAGAGAGATGACCATTAGTTGTTGCCCGAAGAAGAACCGCTCCTGAAATTTTGTCCTTAACAAAAAAAGAATTTTTGTCAAAAATAGCAACACAGTTGTTATCATCACACATTTTTTGAATATAAATTAAATTGAATTTAATATTAGGCACATGATAAACAAATTTTAATAGCAGTGGACGGGAAGAAGTTTTTAAAGAAATATCACCAACATGTATTATAGGAAGATGGGCACCATAGCAACACTAACAATAGTTGGACCAGAATAAGTAGACTCATTTGTCAAAATACCTTCGGAGGGCGTCATATAAGCAGAGGCACCAGTATCTGGATACCACAGGGCTTCATTAGCTTGACCAGTGAGAAGTGTTGGAGCAGACGATTGGGAAAAACGAGAAGAACAATTGAGGGCAGAATGACCTGCAGAAAAATAGATTTGACACACAACAGGAGGGGGAATTGCCCCAAGAATTCCCTCAGCAGATGGAGAGCCTGCAGATTTGACATTAGTATCACAAAATAATATAGCATTAGTATTTAAAGTGGACAAAATAGAATTACTTATAGAACCTACAAGTGGAGGTCTCAGTTGTTGCTGTGTCCCATGCTGCTGGCCGAACCCCTGCTGATGGTGAAGCTGCCCGTACTGCTGCCCCTGGCCGAAACCCTGCTGCCCCTGACCATAGGGCTGCTGCTACCCGTAATTGGGATATCCACATCCCCTGCCGCCTCCTCCTCTGTCGCGGCCTCCTCTGCGACCACCACGCGGTGCAGCAGGTCACTCTTGAACACCAAAGGCTTGATAGGCTGGAGGAGCAATCTGTTGGCGAAGAAAAAGAACCCTCTGTTCGGCTTCCAATAGGCTCCGATGAAGAATGTCTGGGGGAAACTGGTCAGGAAAAGGGAAATAGTGCCCGCAGTGCTTTCATATTATGGTCCAAGTCCCGTGAGAGTGGTCTAAAGGACTTCTTTATTGGTCATCGGAGAATTTATGGCAACCAATTCATCAACCAATAATTTAATTTCCCTTGAGTAATTTTCCATAGACTTAGTTTCCTTCTTTTTCATATTAGACAATAGACGCTTAAGTTCCATAGATCTAGCGAGACTAGCAGACCTAAAATGATTTTGTAATCGATCCCAAATCTCAAAGGAATGTTTAAGTTCATGTACATCAATTAATACATCACGGGTAAGAGAGTAGCAAAGATCCAAGAACGAATTGTTTGATCAACCCGTAATCAATGATAATAGTCAGTATTAATGATTTGGCGATTAGTACATGTGTGCAACCATCCAAGAAGCTAAATAGACCTTGAGAGACTAGGAAAGATTCAAATTGAGTCCTCCATGTGATGTAGTCTTCTACCGCCTTTAGTTTGATCGTAACAATTTGAGTAACATTGTTGGCCAGGGAGACTGACTGTGCAACTGCCGCCATTGGGACTGGAAAATGGAAGAATCTGGTGGCCGAGTCGGTTCAAGTGCACCGGAGAACGTGGAACCAAAATACCCGGGGCTAGGTTGCACCATTGGCGTAGCAGCGGGCCGGCATGGGTGTCGAGAAGAGTCCTGGGATATTTGGCATGGCAGGTGGCTGCCATGGGAACGCCGGGGGAAACAGAGAGTATGCATCGGGAAAGTCTGCAACGAACGGAGAAGAGCCCGGCTGCCTAATTGGTCCCGGCTGAGAAGAACACACCTACGGCGGCACTGTCAGGGAGACGGCGGCGCTGGTGATAGCTACGGCTGCATCGACTGCGTTGGTGAAGACGGAGGAGATCGGCGCCATGGTTGAGGAAGACGACGTCATGGTGGATTCTGCCATTGACGAGAAGGAAGCTGCTGCGGAAGATGGCAGACCTTCGGCGGAAGTCATTCTGCGACGAGGGTTTGAGGAGAGAAAAATTTAGGTCTGTGATGGGAAATGTTGCCTCCAATGGAAACCCTGACAGATATATTTAAAATAAATGAATTACCAAAAATACAAAGTATTCCTAATTTAATATTAGGCTATTACTTATTAAATTAATTAGTGAACTTTTTAATTAAACACGTAGTTTTTAATGTCATGCGCTGTATTGTTAATAATAAGAATCAATTGATTCAGCCGATCTCAGTGTTACGAAACATGTTCTAAAATTTCTATGAGTTAATTATCAAAATAGGACTAAAAGTCATTCACTTTTCACAAATAGGACCAAAAAATAAACTATGTTTGCATAGGACTAATTATGTGTATCTTGGACAATTATACCCTTATATCTATTAAAATGTTTTAATTCCTAATAAAATAATAGAAAATAATAAAAATTCGTAAAAATACTAAAAAATTAAGAAAAACATTTTCGATATTAAAAATTTAATTAATTTTTTTTTCAAAAAATTAAAAAAATTAAAAAAAAATTAAAAAAAAATTAAAAAAAAATAAAAACTAAAAAAAAAATCGCCGCCGCCTCTGCCGCCTCAGCACCACCACCTCCAGTCACCAGGGGAAAAAATGCCAAGTTCATTACGAATGCCACATTTATGGCAGAAAAAAATGAAAATGTTGGCATTCGAAAAGAGAAATGTGCCACTTTTTTGGCATTTTCAGAAAAAAATGGCATTTTCTGGGAAAATTGCATTTTTTTCATCGGCCGGAGGTGGTGGTGCTGGGAGGTAGTACAGGCGGTGGGAAAGGCATCCATATTTTTTTAATTTTTTTTTATGGAGTTTTACTATTTTTTATTAATTTTTTTAAAAATAAAATTATTTTAAAAAAATGAATTTTTTATTTTATAAAATTTTTATAATTTTTTTACTTATATTTCTACGAATTTTTGAATTTTTTTCGAATTTATTATGAATTAAATATTTAATTATGGCTTTTGACTATTTGTAATTCATATTTAATGGAAGGGTAAGAATGGAATGCAAAAATAGGTATGTTTCCAATAGGACTCATATGGTCCTATTTTGGAATAAAAACATAGCAAGTCCTATTTTAGGTTTTTGCCATAGTTTTAGTCCTATTTGAACTAATTTCTAAATTTCTATTGTACACATAACAAAAGAAGACGTGACTAAAACTCCCTTGCTTTGCCAATAAATGATCTTAATAGGTTTTTCACAAAAAAACATTTAATTAATATGAGGGAGTGACACGATTATTAATAAAAGCAAGTTTGTGTGGTTGATAATAAATTGATAAAGTAAGAATAAAATAAAAATTATCTAGATTCACACAAACTTTATCAAATTTAATTTGAGACAATCTTATTGAGATTTCCCGAAAAGAAATAATGAGATAATCTTAGTGGAATGAAAGAGTAATATTTAAATAATGTATAATGTATTTCCGCATGTTTATAGCTAAGACGAGGAGCGTTTTTTTGTCTGACCATGTATTTGTGATAGAAAAAGGAGACAAGACTAAAAATATATACAGAAAAGAGTAATTACAATTTACGATGAAATAATGCTTCATTGACACCATATTCATGCAATGTATGTTTTGCATGCCATGAACTACATTCAGTGGTTTACATGAAAGCCAAATACTAAGGAACCCATGCCTCATTTCTCCATCTCCTCTTCAATCTGGCCATCTACATTGACAAATGAATAAGGAGATCAATAAACATCAGATATATTAAGTACCTGATTTGAGCTTCCAAAAGCTGATTTTAGCCAGTTTTTAACTGCTTAATCTCAATGTATTACGCTTAATGATTCTGGAACATATGAAATTTTACCAGGGAGCTCAGCACCCAAACTTGCCAGTTTATCAGCTTCACAATTGGATTTCTACAAATTCAAATGTACACACAAATAAACAACATTAGAGGTTTTTTCAAGTGTTACTGAAATAAAACTTTTTTACAAAAATATGACTAAAGCTATTACTCCCTCCGTCCCATTAGAATGTTCCCACTTTCATTTTTTGGACATCCCATATAAAGGTTCTCATTTCCATTTTAGGAAACAATTAACAATCTTAAATGACAAATTAATCATTAAATATTAAAAATAATACATTTATAATATCACAGTTACCAATACTAACTACGTTATAATATATACCTATTAAAATTATTTCTCAAAATATACCTGAAATACTTTATTTAATTATTGCCTAAATAACCGTGCCGTTTTGCTATGAGAACCTTCCAACGGGACGGAGGTAGTACTAAAGTAACTAGATTTAGGAGTTCATACTTTTGTGAGCAACTTATATTTTCGTCATAAATTTGTAATTATTTCAAACATTATTTATAGCAGTTAACACTACCTCTATCAGGGGTTAATTTATACGTAGTCATTTGTTTTTAATTTTACATTTCTTAAATAAAATAATTTATATGTTTTAACTAAAGTGAAATGCAACCCTTAGAAATCATCGGTCCATTCAGGGGTTTAATGCCCCGGATCTCCACGTGAAATATAAATTCGTTGCATTGGCCTCATGTGATTTAAAAAAATGTGTCAAAACCCTCCGTGTTAAAATTATTCATGCACAATAATCCCTCCAAGAACAAATTTTACAATTTTGAAATCACATTTTTGAATAATATGATTGAATATACAAGTAGTCTTGTCAAGATTTCTACATTATACAAAAAACCTAATCAGTTTTCATTCTTTGACAATTACATTCGTTCATATAAGGGATTTTACGCATGAATAATCATAACACAAGGGGGTTGACTCATTTCATTCGTTCATATAAGGGATTTTACACATGAATAACCATAACACAAATATAAGGGATTTTACACATGAATAACCATAACACAAGGGGGTTGACTCATTTTTTAAACCACAGTGGGCTAATGTTCCGAATTTATATTTCACGAAGGGGGTTAAACCTGTCCAGCCCTACATGTATTTTTATATTTGGTTTTTGGCCCAATTATTTTTTATGATATTTTTGAGAATGGTGGAACTAGATAGTACAAAGTACTTTTATAGATTTCATAAAAGATGACCACAAAAGAAGTTCAAAAAGTGGACAGATAACTAGGAATTAGGTACAGAGAGGCAGAGAGTGTAATAAGCACTGAAATCACAAAGTGAGATACAATGAGAAAGAAAATTTAATGAAAGAGAGCAGAATAAAAATGAAACAAAGGTAGAATGGGAAAGAAAGTATAAACACATAAATTTTATAATTAAATTACCCGTGGAACATGCTTTATCTGGAAGGATTGAAAGCTGGCCTTGAGTTGTTTGGCCTGCTCGCACAAGCTTGAAATGCTTGGGCTTTTAACTTTCACCTGGTCCTGGATCTAAAGAACACCAACATATTCAGTGTATATTTTAGACTCCAGTAGAGATGATAGCACATCAAAAAGTAAGATGAAACCTGCATGCAGACAGATTGGGAGTCACCCTGCACACGAATGTGAGCAAATCCTTTGCGAAGTGCATACTTTAATCCCAAAATAATGGCCCTATATTCGGCTGTTGTAGAATCTGCAGTGCCCAAACCTTCACGAAGGCGACAAATCTGTGGAAAAATAAAGGAGTGGATGGGATAAGCCCCATAACAAGTATAATAAGAGAAGCATTGTTCTCTATTATTTGTATAACATAATAAACCATTATACGGAGTATAAGATTGAGCTAATAGTCGCTTGACCGCAATAATAACGCTTACAGCTTACCACACTTCCATTATCTGCACGTAGCACAGCACCTGCCCCTGCTTGTCCATTTGCTTTGGAAGAACCATCACATTCAAGCATACAGGAGGGCTGCAGGTACTTTAAAAAGAAATCAGGTTCAGTTGCAGCACCATTATAATCAATCGTAGCCATTTAAAGCTGTGTTAGATATTCTTGCTAATGGAAACCTTAGCTTTCGATATGTACAGATACATTTCTACCAGTTAATCAGTATCAAAGAAAGCATTTTATTGCATCATTTAAGTCAACCATACCGTGAACAAAATGTACCCCATGGCAAAAACAAATGAAGCCAAGAAAACGGAATTACCCCATTCTTTGACCTCACTGCTTCATGTGATACTTTCTGTTGCAATTTTTCATTCATGAGAGGCTACTTAAGAAACAAGAGCCATAACAGAATGCCACTAGTTCACATAAAACATGTGGATAATACAAAGAAAAGATAACTCTTATTATTGTAATAATAAGATCTCATAAGTAATAATTTCTAAAATTACCTTTGGAGGCATGGAGCTCGGTTTTTTACTCTTTCACAGGGCAGCAGCAGAACACAAGATACATTTAATTATATATATATATAAATTTATTACGCTTCACGTCTACGCCTCATTGCGCAATGAGGCTTACGCAATAATAAAAAAACGCCATGATTACGCCATACGCAATTTCGAACCTTGTTAGAGCCTCTTGTCCCAAAAACTGGTCTCATGGGAGGGGGGTGTAGCTCAACCAAAAAAACTCAAGAAGTTTGGTTTACATAAAGTAAGCTTATATACGTAGTATTAGACATCATCCCTACATCATCATGAGATATGAAGTATGGGATAGAGAAAACCCTTAAATAGGACTAAAACATACCCAAAGTGCACAAATAAGATCACTATTGTTTTCTTCCTAAAAGAGGACTCGTTAACTCCTAATTGGGGATGCTGTATACTTTTAAAGGATCAAATTAGTCATATTTTGGAAAAAACATAATCATAATTACTTCCATATGTGCACTTCGTCAATGATTTGGTCATATTTGGAGCAATTTCTATGTGGTATATATCTATTAAATTGGGTGCATCTCACCCAAAACTATCACAAAGTTAGTTTACCTCAGGATTATGTATTGGATTCAACCCTAGTGAAATATGATGTAAAACACTAACTACAGACCCTTCTACCTAAGCCAGACTGGACATCTGAAGAGATGGACAAAGGGGTCTATGTCTATCTGAATTCATATAATCATAAGGGATGCCCTCAACCATGGGAAAGTAAACAAACCACAACCAAATCAGACTTTGATGTTGTAGTAAACTATACCTAAATCACCCCAAAAAGATGCTACTTCAGACTTTAATATATTAGACTCAAACCGGGTAACATGCAATATGAGAAACTTAACAACATCTCCTGCTCGGGTGCTCCATTCCCAATTCCCACGTATACGGTTCCCGACAATAACAAATGTCAACTAGAAGATCTTATATTCATATAGTGATATCATCATATGAAAGGCATATATAGTTAAACTGAGTTCTTGGGCTAAGAGCAAGAGAATACTGAAATAAGTGCCTCACCTTCAATGTGCATGGTAATAGAGTGCCAAAAAGATTTTCAGTAAAGTCTTTAGCACTGAGAGAATAAAGAGCGTCTTTAATCCCTCTAGAGTTAAGGTATTTTTTTGTCTTCTTAGTCATGGAATAGCCTTTATACACACTGACGGGAGGATCACAATTCTGTCAATGGAAAGATGATCAAAATGGTAGTCATTATATGAGGATGATGCAACTCAAAAAACAAAACAAACATGCAAGTCCTCGCCAGAAGAAAGTATGTGTAGGCAGTGTAGCAGATTACATCATGGGGTTCAGAAAGATGGGGTGAAGTTTGTGTAAAGTCGTAAAGAACAATACTGTAGTAAAGATTTTGTTACTATGCCACTCAATTGTATCACAAAAGTAATGCACATGATTTTTTTTTAAAAATAGACCAAACAGATGCGATTAAAACTATCTTACATGTAAATAATTGAATACATTCAGCTGTTTTCAGCCATAGCTACAATAATTTTAGCACTTCAGCCCCCACTAAAACAATTTTTAGGCTTACCAGACGGGCGCGGATACATACATACATACATACATACATACATACATACATACATACATACATACATACATACATACATACAACCTTTCCTTTCTATGACATTTGACATTGGTGAGTTAGACTGTATGTATAAACAAATCAAAGAACAAAATGTTAATCACATTCCCCTGTGGATGGATAAGGAAAGCCATATTAGTTACCGAGGATCCCGATTGAAACTGGCAATCATTCAAGCTTTTGTAGATACCAACCAGGCCTCCTTTCCTAACGACAAAGAAAGCATTTTTCTCATCCTTCTTTTTAGGTGCATGAGCGTGATCTGGCTTTTTCCCTTGAGAACCGTTCTTCTTTCCTCCTTTAGAACCATTCTTCTTTTCTCCTTTAGAAGCATTCTTCTTTTTTTCTTTAGAACCATCCCTCTTTGTCATTGCAGATGAATATGAACGAACGAGAAGACTTTCCAAAGCTGAGTTAATACTAATCCTACAAGTTGAGTGGTATCCAACAAGACTGCGACTCTTTGATTTTATAGCAGCAGAACATGCATGGAACAAGATGTTCATCAAACCAAGACTTTACCTATCTCCATAGAGACAAAACAGAACAGAAGAATAGGAACAGGTGTATTAATTAGGTTGTGATAGCAAAGCTGATCATCATTTCATCATTTAATAGGAAAACCCAAATTAAATGTCTTCCTTAATTACATTTGAGATTATTGCAGGAGAGATAAAAACTTAAGGCATGCATGTTAATTTCAGTTTAACAGTCGAAATGAACACCTGGGTTTCGAGTCTCTTTAATTTCTAGAACTTTAATACTAACATTACACTCCCAAGTCTCAAGGCAGTAACTTTGCTGGATTATTTTAGAGTTGAAAAGAAACAGAAAAAGGATTTCTAAAGAAACGACATTTAGATGCTAATGATGATTAGAATAACTTGAAAGTTAATTATATTAAGATGGGAAGAGACGTGGATGAGGAGTAGCAGTTGTGAGAACTACACAAGAAACCCATCCAACACGGGGCAGTTCCTTACAGTACGTGGAAGTTTATTACAGTATTATCGATCATGTCTGTTTAAGGGAGATTTACACATATAAGATCAAAATATATGGAGGAGTGTTTATAAAAAAATAGGGGTCACATTGAACACTATATACTTGAGAATCTCAAACACTAATGTTACAAATTAATCAAATTGGACATTTAACGGGCGAATCTCATATTAGCCATTAAAGTTTCATAATTTATATTTTTTGGACACTCACTTACGAATCTCTTCTTCCTTTAATAAAAATCGTTTGTCTTATTTTCCCTTTCTTTAATTTTTTGTTGAAAATAAAGTAGCTTGATTGATGTATTATGTATATAATTTTGGAATATTTAATTTGAGGTTTAAGAATATATAGTTCGATTTTAATTAATAACTTCTTGTATTTAACAAGTTAAAAATATATTTAGCACTTTTTATTCATATGATTTTTATGAAACTTTTGGAAATATTGATTTGTTAAATTGATTACCAATATTAAAGAATTCAATTACATTATAATAGATTTTCTTAAATGGGACATCTAATTATATAGGGAAAACTAATTAAAATACTTCAAACTTTGAAAGAGTGTGAGATAAACACCCCAAACTTTCCTATGTAATTTAAATACTCCAAACATTATATAAAAAGTTATTTTAACACCATGGCCATGTATTATTTTTTTCAAAAATGTAAATTTATGGTGTTAATTGCATAATATAAAATAGAAAATTAAAAATTCTACAATTATATAGATTGGGGGTGGTATTATTTATTTTACAATGGAAGTTTAGAATGTTAATTGTATCTTCATGAATGCTAAAATATTTTAAATTATGAAATTAACACCAAAAATTGACATTTTCGAAAGAAATAAAACATGACCATCAGACCATGGTGCTAAAATAACTTTTTATATAAAGTTTGGGGTAATTAAATTATATATGAAAGTTTGGGGTGCTTACCTCACACCTCTTCAAAGTTTGGGGTATTTTAATTATTTTTCAAAATTATATAATAGTAGTATATTTTAAGTCTAAATACACAGATTCTTTTTATTTTTATTTTTTGAGTACATAAATAAAACAAAGGGAAAAAAAGAATACTTATAGCTTTCAAATATGAAAAATCTTTGGTGGGTGTCCAAAAATGATGAGTAAAACGTTAAATTTGATCCCGTTAAAACTTTAATGTCTAATATGAGATATACATGTAACCGCAGTGTCTATTTTAGTCTATTTGAAACATTAGTGTCCAATACGAGATTCACATATAATCATAGTGTCCAATTTGACTTTTATCCCATTAATGTTACGCTAAAGTTTTTTTATAATCGTTATTTAGCAACTCCCAAATATTAATATAGAGATATGAGTAAGACGAGTTAATACTCAAGAACAGAAGTTTATGAAAATAACTTACATCCGTAACAGTTTACAAGTTTCAAGATAGAAAAAAAAATATAAAAGAGTTTAGCTTCAAATTTAGAGTCTAATCATACTAGAAAATATAAGAAAAATATTAATCTAAATTGAGTTTAATAAAATGATATATATCAGAAACCATGGCACAAATATAACCTATAAGGTTTTAATAGACATACATATGACTTCTTTTAAAGTTTACAAAAAAAGTGACCGATGCTTCTCCCCCAATCCAGATCTACGCAGCTCGCATGTCTGCGCCATCCGCCTCCCTCGCACAAATCTACAGATCTTCCATCTTCTTCCCTGCTCCAAGCCATCCAACCTCCATCCAACACACAACACCTCTGCCGCCACAACGAGCGTTGAGCAACGCACTGACGAAGCATTCTTTTCCTTCTCTCGCTGAATCAAAACTAGCAGTAAGCTTGTGCACAGATTCGCCGACGAACTTCTAATTTGGCGATAACGGCGACGAGCTTCGCTGAGAAACTCCATCTTCGAGCTTCATCAATGCGACATGAGAAAATCTAGTGGTCGACGATGAGTTTCGTGGCTGGGTCAAATCTGTCGACTACCTTGGGACCGAACAAATCTATCTTGGGGCTGAACAAATCCACCGCATATCTGATTTTTTTCTTCACAGATCTGAAATTTTTGGCTTAGGGAGACGGGGTTAGAGCAAATGGGGAAGGGGCTGGGAAGAAGGCGTGTCCAGGAAGGTGAGATGGACTATGAAAAGGGTTGGTAGGTTGGTGGTCAGGTTGGGACAAGGGATTGCATCAGGGCTGGGCTAGGGTTTGTGAGGGGGGCTGGGGAGGGCATTGGTTGTGCGGTGGGAGTTGCCGAAAGGTCCGGCAGCAACCATTGTGGTCAAATGGCAGTGGTGGAAGTAACCGGAAGAGGCAAGGTGGAGTTCAGTGGATCTGGCGAAAGTGACGTCACTGTGTGATGGTGACGTCACTATGACGGTGTCACTGTGACCGACGACGGTCTACGACCGGCGGCGGTAATCAATGGCAGGAGGTTGTGGATGTCACTGTGACGGTATCACTATGACGGTGTCACTGTGGCGGTGGCAATGTAATTGGCATGAAAAGATTTGACGGTGACCACAAAAAGAGAGTAATATATAGGGCTAATAGCCTTATTTTGGTAAGCCTCTCATTATTTCTCACATCAAGAATATAGCATAACTGTTTAGCAACATACCACATTATCATATTTGCGGAGCGTAAATACGAACAACTTTTATAGAAATTGCCCTAAATAGGAGCAAAAATGTTTTGAAATTCCAAAATAGGAGTATCATGTTTTTTATTCCCTGAACAGGAGTGATCTGCCAAGTTTGGAAGAAAATGCCATGTTTAAAGCCTAGTAATGCCATGTTTGGCAGAAATTTACTCCTATTTAGGGAATAAAAAACATGATACTCTTATTTTGGAATTTCAAAACTTTTTTACTCCTATTTAGGGAATTCTCTCTAACTTTTACTACAAGCGGTATTAGATACAACATTTTACATCATTGTCCTTTAAATGTTGGTTGCTCAAATCAATAGGTCCAAGAATTTCTTTCTGTAAATTGATAAAAGTGGGATAGCCACAAGTCCAAATATAAACCTTTACTAACGCTTACTCCTATCAAAATGATTGAGAATAAAGGTTTCAGCATAATGTGGATACTTCTTCCTGATCAAACCCTTTATGCACTTCCAGTATGAGAAATCTACATACTCTCCATCTTCGCGCACTAAGAATAGACATCGCGATTTTCCATAAATGGGGTGGTATCCTATCTGTCAAGGAGAACAAATAAAAGTGTAGCACTTTTCAGATTTGGAGCTATTAATTAAAAGTTAAAACTCCATAGATCTTCTTGTTACGCAAGGTATAAAAAGATTCAAAGAACAACTAAATTACACACACAAACACAATTTCATGTTCTCTCATTAGGGGTTCTGAAACTGTTTATAGCAGTATATATGCATAAATATTTGCTGGCATATTTTGTTCAGAAGCGTTTTATACAAGGTTTGCCCATGAGGCACATATAAGGAGCAATGAAACCAGAATGAGTTGCACAATGTTTGTACTTTTTCTTAAATTATCCTCTACCGTGTTGTTAATTGTATAGATTATAGTGATCCCTTTTTGGGTAGGTCTAAAATAAACTTCAGACTTATATTTTTGGCAAGTTTTTAATATAAAATAACTCTTATACCCTTACTTTATTACATACTTTACACCCACTTTCTCTCTCCCACTACACTTTATCTACTTGTTGTAGGGGTATGATGGAAAAGTCAAAAGCAAAAACCTTACTTTCTTAAAAACAGTAGTCAAAGTGTGAAGTTTACTTAGGACCGGAGGAAGTAATTTTTTTTATTCATTTGAGAGAAAATAGATTGCTAGTACATCTTTTTCATTTTTGGGCAAATGTTGGTAATTAAGTAATGCTATAATGCCTTATTGATAGAGATAAGGGGCACTAGAAAAAACAAATAAACTGCAGTTTCAGACAAGGGATATGAGAGTGACAGAGAGACTCGCAAACAAGCTCCCCAGTCAAGAACAACTCTTGAGCCTCACGCCCCAGCCTTATGTTGATGATCACAATCAGAAAAGAAAATGACTGCATACCCTCCTTTCTAAAGGATAGGTTTATTCTTTAAGCAAGGCTGCAAAACACTTTCCCTATCACGAATCTGATTCATAAATCCAAAAACTCTTTTTATCAGATCCCACAACTTTCTGTCTTTTACTGTTCTTAATTATTTGCTTTCCTCTAATGGTCCTTGTTCATTTTCAATCACACACTATGTTTCTATCTTTGCGAAGTCTGGTTACAAGCCACAAATACTAACTAGATAAAGACAATCTACAAAATTCAAGCACATACAATGTGAAAGAAAAGCGGGAATAGAGCTCATGTCCTGACTTTCGTAATTGTGGAATTTCAAGTTGCTAATGATCCAATAGTTATTACGAGAGTGTTGTGAAAAAAATCACACAACTGTGTGGGTAACTATGATCTAGAGATCTTCAAAGGGTACTACTCACTCAATACTCCATAAATCGCTTAAACATGCATGTTTTGAAAAGATTGAACAAAATTCATGGATAAAAAAGTTTATGACTGGAAAGTCTGGAAGTGTAGGTGGTGAGAAACAATTGCCAAACCAGCAGCCATATACTACGAGCATCTGATATGCATTGAGAAAGGAGGAAGTGAAGAGTTGTGTACCGTAATATAGTTGACACCACAGCCAATCTTCTTTTCATACTCTGGATGATATGGAAGAAACCTTTCCAACAAAATTTTTTCATGCTCAAAGCTTAGCCTATCACCAACTTCATATCTGCAGAGAAGTGAAACCATCAATAATTGACCTCACTCAATGCTGCATTGAATGTACAAACATGTCAGATCAGACAACTCATCCACTTCTATAAGAGAAGTGACTTCTTTGAGACAGATTTTATGCTCGTAAAAGTGTCAAAAGACAAGAGGTTTACTATATAGATATGCAAACGGTTAAACTATACTTGGCCACCACAGGAAGAAGTGAACCTCTGGTCATGGGTGTTGCATAAAAAAAACTTTCATGAAGAGGTTAAATGATTAAGTAGTTATATTTATACATTTAAAACATCAAAGCCTGGCAAAATAAAAGGAGATATAGTCCTTTGAAAATATATAAGTATCAGGTTCAGAGGCGTAAACTTTATTTAAAGCAACAATTACCTCACTACACCAAACACCCAACAAACTGTATTCTTAAAAAAAATAGTACCATTATACTAGCTCTTTAACGCATTTTGTTGGCCAGTTTTATTCGTTGAATATAAGCTCTTCTGTGATAATAACAAATCAATCACATATATGTAGGGGAGGACCTAAGGGGTGTCACGAGAGCCCACGTTCGGATCATGGAAAATAGAATCAATATTTGTGTGTTTATGAGTGCCTGCATGCCTGCAATCCCCGCATTTGTTCCCAGTAAATATTAGCAATTCTTAGGTGAAAGTTAGATTTGGATGTCATTACAAGCGCTGAGAACAAATATTGTTAAGTTGAAGGGAAAAAAATCATTCTTTCAAACCCAGGCAATAAACAAGACTGTTGAAAGCAATTTTTTTTTAAAAAGAACAACTTAATACGACATCATTTTAGATTAATTAGGTTTTAAAATAACTAGTTTTAGATTAATTAGGGTTTTAAATAATAAAAGAAAACATTAAAGGTCATTGGAACGAAGAAGTGTTGCTATTGCATACAAAAGAAAAATGAAATATTTTATGACATCTTTTACTCAATTGTAAAATAAAGTTCTCATTTCAATTAACGCTTGACTAATGATAATATTAAATCTTCTAAACATATTATAGGGCAGCTCGGTGCAACTAGGCACCCCACAAAGCGAATGTCAGGGAAGGGTCCCGCCACAAGGGTGTATACGGGAAAGTTTTCCATGATTAAATTCTGACAAGATGCCGCTCTCAAGACTTGAACTCGTGACCTCTCGGTCATGCAGCAACACCTAAACCGATGTGTCAAGGCTCCTTTCCCTTCTAAAAATATTATAATCAGTATAAATAATAAAAATATACTCCCTCCGTCCCTTAAAACTTTGACAAGTTTGACTGACACGGGGATTAATAGAGTAAAAACTGTGTGGTTGAGGTTTGTATAGATGAGAGAGAATTAACTGGAACCACAAATTCTTTACTTAATAGGGAAAGTAGCAAAGTTAGTGGGACATCCAAAAAAGGAAAGTTGACAAAGTTTTAAGGGACGGAGGGAGTACATATTTAGAAACAACACTAACGTACTCTCTCTGTTCCTAATTATATGTCCCAGTAGAAGTTTCACACATTTTAAGAAAATGTGTGGTGGTTTGAAAAGGTAGGGAGTTCTCATCTGGACAACTAATTATGATAGTATTTTTTAGGTCCTTTTAGGATAACGTTTTCTAAAAAATGAAGTGAGACAATTATTTTGGAGCATCTCAAAAAGTAAAGTAGTAAAGTATGACAATTACTTAAGAATAGGGTTGTGAACGAGCCGAGCCCAAACATCCCCAATTCGAGTACGGCTTGTTTAGGTTATAATGGTGTTTGGGTTCGAGATAGAGTTTCGACGAGCTATACAAATGGGACTCAAGTTCAACTCAATAGGTGTTCGATGTTGATTTGAGCGCTTGATAAGCTTGATATATATGCTTGAATATATAAATTTGATTTATGCTCGATAACAGGTTTGTGCTTGAATTATTCGACAAAATGGACAAATACTTGAATATTTAATAATAATAATTATTAAATTGATAAAAACCACACTAAAGACATTCAATTTAAACACATTCAATTCTCTGTCCCTTTTTAGTTGGCCATTTTTTACTTTTCCACTTGATGATGGCAAACTTTGGTCAGTCGTTTTAACTAATATATTTTGGTTTTAATGTTTTATACTTTTCCATTTTCTTACTTTTCCACATTTTTTACTTTTATAATAATATTTTAAATAAAGAACAATTTTGTATCATTTTCATATTATAAACTTTCTTATATAAATATATTATCAGTTAAAGTTTAGTATCCTAAAAATCAAAGATAGCTAACTAAAAAGGGACGAAAGAAGTATATGATTTATCCCTACAATTCATAAGGTTCGATAAACTTGAGCTCGAACTGAGCACTACAATACTCGAGCTCAGCTCAAACGGGCATTCAAACTTAAAACTCACTTTGTGTTCGAGTTCCAAACTTGTTAAACTCGGCTCATTAGATTCGAAACCAAACTCAAACTCAAATAAACTAAACAAAGCACGGTTCAATAACAACACTGCGTAGATTAGTAATGGAGGGAGTACAATTTAATCGAAATACTCGAATTTGAATATGGCAAAAGTTAGATACATAAATTTAAAGAATAAAATAGAATTGCATGACTCATGTTGAGATGGAGGTGGTAGTATTACATTCGGAACTACTCCAACCAAATTTTATTCGATAATTCCTGACCAGATCTTGTTTTTCTTTTAAAACTCACACTTTTCCTAGCTTGACCAGCTTGCAAAAAGCACTGGGTACATGACAGCATCTATTCAATATTTAACCTAAGCTGTATAATTCACTATTAAATATTGACATCTTTGCAACTCTTCATCCATATGTTACAGCCTAAGTTGTTTTCTAACTAATGAAAGCATTTTTTCTTCTTCAAATTCATCACACCATTCAATTCAAGAAATAACTCATTTCTAAATAGAAGAACATACGTGTTTTGGTAGGCATAAGCTCCTACCATCTAGCTTTTGTACTATTTAAAAAGTCTTTAAAAGTTTCTAATCGTATGTTTGACATGACAATTTATAAGAGCTTTTACAAAAATGAAAGATTTTTTGAGTAGCATCCGAAAAAAGTCGGATGCTTTTAATATTAATTAGTGTGAATAGCTTATATATCAAACAGGACTAAATCAAAATGTCATCTTTGTATCAAATAGCTACAACATTTTTCTTGTAAGACCTTTTCGATCACTAAAAGCTAGCCTTTATTAAAAAGTATTACTTATCTTTTCAGCTATTTCTGTCGATCATACCCATACTGAATAGCAACACAATTCTGAGACTATAATACTCATAAAAGTGAAGCAAATGGACGCTTTACCTTCCAGAATGAAGAAGCATCCGAGCAACCCCTACAAGCGGGACAGTTTCCTCCAAAATCTTGTTCTCCCAATCCACCCACTCCTCTTTACCAATATCCTCACTTTCACCGTAACACCCATCCTCCGTTGACTCTCCCTCTCCGGCAGACTCCACCGAAGTAGCAACCGGTTTCCTTAGAAGCTCCGAGCTGTGAGCATCCTGCGCGTTGCCAGCACAACCTCCGGAGCTGGTCTTGACTGCAATCGCGCATCGACGAAACACAGAGTGGCTCCGCTGGTGAACGGTGAGAGATGACGGCGGTTGAAGTGAACTGCGAGAGAGACGAGTTCTGCTGACGAATTGAAGTTGCAAAGGTGTCGACGAAGAAATTGAAGTCATCTATTATGTATAAACTATAAAATTAACAAAGAATTTGGATGAATTCCCAGTAATTGGGTGGTTGATTTCATGCGCAATCGGACGTGATGATCCTGTGATAGTGTTCATAGGAATCCGGCTTGGGTGCGGTAACTTGCGGCAATGCGTAGGGGCTCAAAAATCGCCTTATCCAATCTCTTGCTCTCGACTGATTGGCTGAGTATTTTAGTGACAATAATAATACGGCTCAAAATATAGTGTTGTCTAACTGCAAAGTTATCTTCAAACATTCATTGGACTGTCTTCCCGATTGAATTGTTAGCTGAAATTTTGTATGAGTAAACTAGACTTAATGAATAAGATTCTCAAAAATATTCATCAAAACAATCCACCGGAAACTGCCTCAAATGGCGACGGCCGGACAGAGCCTCTTATAAAAGGGCTTATTTGTACTTTTTATGAAAGTTTGAGGGCTTATTTGGTAGTTCTCCCTTAGTTTTTTTCAATTTTTTTGTTCCTTCTAAAATAACTTTTTCTTTCATTCTTTCATAAATAGTTTTTTTTTTCACAACATTTTCTACACATTTATTTCTCTTTGTGTAATTATTCATCACATAATTCCTATTGATATATGTGCATATTACAATTGTCGAAGACTCATCTAATTTAGTTGGTGTTTTAAATCTGATCTGGACCGATCCGTTTAAGTATGGTCTAAGATTGTAACCAATCCAAGTTAAAACATCCTCAATCTCATTACAATGATTTTTACTTGCATTTTGTCGATCAAATTTAATTTGTTTTGTGAATAAATATCATTGATTGTACTATTATTGTTGTTGTTATTTTTCTTGTTATTAATATTATAGCTCGATTGGCAACATTTAAATTGATTGAACCACTAATTCTGTTGAAATTTATCAAGTTTTGGCTGAATTAGCTAAATTGTAAATTTTTTTTAATTTATAAAATTATTATATTCAAAATATATATCTTGTTTGCAATTCTTTTGCAACAAACATTTTCAAGTGAAGACAAATGTCCTAACTTAACAAATAAAAATTATTAGTGCGCATCAAGGATTTTAAATGAATTGTTTTCTCCATCTCATTTCATTCCCCGTCCTTTCTTACACAGTATATCTCTGATATTTTTTTCATATCTTGAAAGATGATGGTGAAGTGGGGAGATGAAAGTCGAAAGATTGCACATGATATGAGATGACCAAGATGGAAAAAAAATGAAAGAATGGAACAGGGCAAAAGGTAGACCGTAATAAAGGAAAATAAAAACAAAGAGGATAAAAGGAAAATGTAAGGAGAGAAAAGGGTAAAAACTAAAAGTGAAATGATAACATATAATTAAGATGTTTATGGGGTGACAAGTTTGCACACAAGTACATTTTTTATGCAAATAGCATTTTTCATTCCAAAAGGATTATCTCTCACAAGTCACTTACCATCGATTTTAATCTGACTTGATAAAATTGGCACAATTCTCTATTTATTTTATTTTGGCTAATGGCATGGTAAAATACTAATTAGTTACAACAATACAAAATAAGTATTTCAAATAGAGACACACTCGAAGATAGTGGCTCCATCCTAATGGTATTTATATTACTTTGTATCATCTATTGAGTGTTGTTAAAGAACCACATGTGACACCCTTATGGAGTCACATATGTTATTATATCATTTTCACCACCATTTAATATATTAGTGAAGGTCTCCACTAAAAAAATACATATTAAGTGATAGTGATGTCATAAGACCCCCATCACCCGTGTGACCATACATGGGAGTCACGTGTCGTCTATGACTATACTACTTTTCACAATGAAAAGTAGTGTCGTAGTTATTTAAAAATGAATATTCGTCCAAAACGATTAGTACCCACCTACACATTAGGTAATGGCTAGGTGCCTGAGTTTTTGTCTGGATATCTTGAATAATTGATTTAGCTCTAGTTGATTTAATCGGTCACATAGGGCACCTAATTGCCTTAGAAGATAATTTAGAGACAGAGAGAGTAATTAATTACATATATACATTATATATACACTATAAAAGTTGTGAGAACCGAGTAGTGGAGAGAGAATGACTAAAGCCTCCCCTAGTCCCATTTGATCTCTACGGACTGCGTATTCAAATTTGGATTGATTTATTTTTTGACAAAAAAAACTCAATTCATTTCATCATTAATAATGTTTAGGATACAATGTGGAATAAAGGGAAAATTCTGCTAGGAGCGTGATTAGTAGCCGCCTTAGCCAGGACGTGAGCGCTACTATTCACTTTCCATTTAGTAAAATAACTCTAAAGTTACTATTTGAAACTAAAAGTATCTTGCAATTCTCCACCAATGACCCATATTCGGTCTGATTAGGACTGTTAAGGCACACATCTTCTAGAAGTTGCTTACAATCAGATTCAAACAGAACATGATTGTGCCAAGTTCTAGCCATCCATTTAATAGCTTCTCTAAGGCCCCATGCTTCCGCCTCCGCTGGACACAAATCTGGTGTACATATACCTGTTTTGGCCATATAAAACTGCCCACGATAATCCCGAACACATGCCCTGAATCCAACTCGCTTCTCATTTGCAAAGAGAGCATAATCGACATTACACTTCAAGAAGTTACAAGGAGGGGGATGCCACCGGACTTGAACCAAACTGATGGTCAATAACTTCTGAGTGCTAATCCTAGCTTCGTCCCACGAACACAGCAATTCACTCCCACGAGAGATAATTTGGTGTGTGGTCTCCCGGATGCCTTCCCAGCACATTTTATTCCTTTCTTCCATGCGCTCCATAGAGTCATGCTAAAAGCTTTTAATTTATTCTCTGGAAAGGCTTGAATAATGCTCATGAATAACTCAGAAACTTTCAGTTGTTGTCATAGTTGCTGTCATTTCATTCTATAACCCTACTTCTTAGCAACATTCCACGCTAAGCGGGCAAGAAAGATATGTGTGCCATGCATTCTCTGGTGTGTTGCAGCAGATGGCGCAAACTCCCGGGCAAACAACACCCTTATCTTGCAGCTTATTTCTAGTCGGAATTCAGTCTCGCCCAAGCCTCCACAGGAAGGTACGGACCCTTGTTGGGACTGCCAGGGACCATAGTTTATGACATAGTTTATGCCACGAGCCTTCTTCCTTGAGATAATTCGTACCCACCAACTGGTCCATGCACACTCTATATGTACTTCAAACGGAAAATCTAATGTCCTTTGTGTATCGCCAAACTGGAGTATCCTGCCGATGCAACCTCAACAACGGGAGAGCTAGTGTTTCATTTACATCCCTGTGATTAAACGCGCTTCGTATGAAGCTCTCCTTCCATTTGCCTCCATTTCTGTCAATGAAATGGGTAACTCATACCTCACTCATTGTGGGCACAAGATGAGTTTGAATACACGAGTTCTTCCCATTTCAAAGCCATGGTTGACCCCAAACACAGATCCTTTCCCCATCATCAACACTCCAACGGAATCCTTCCTTAACCAAAATTTGGGCCGACCAGATGCTATGCCATGTCAAACTAGGGTTATGGCCAATGCCAGCCCCGGAAATCCCCTTTTGGGAAGTATCTTGTTGTAACACCCTCCCCAAGTATATTTATTTTTTACCAAATCATGTATTGAATCTTTAGAAATGGTTAATGAATTTATGACTTTGTAAATTCTTGTTATTACTTTTGCGTGAATAGTCAAATGCACGTGAGGCCCACATCGGGAGTGAGACCACCCGATACATTGGGACCACATATTATATTCATCTTGGTGTAGATAACATTTATATGATGGTGTATATTCATGTTTGAGACATAGAAATGATGTATATTTGGCGGGTGGGTCAAACAAGGCCCATATATACTAGTATTGGTATTTTGACAGATAACAACCTATAATAAATTTCGGGTACTTCTAAGTTAAAGTTGGGGAATATATATTCATCCTAGAGGTCCATAGTGATTGGAAGGATGATGTACATTTTATTTGGTCCGATAAAATAAAATATAATTAAAACAGTATGAGAAATACAACTTTCGGGACCAAATGTATACATCGAGACACAATGGGGGCCAACCCAAGAATTTGCACCTCTCAAAGGTCAACCATAGGTGGCTATGACTTAATGAGGCTGTGAGACAAAGGGAGGATGGGAGGAGTCAATCAAGTGTGCAATGGGGCCTCTTCCTACGTTGTTTTGAAAGAAAAGCCAAAATGGCTACCTCTTCACTCACCCACTCCTCATATTTCGACCAAGTGCACAAGGAAAGAGAGAGAAGCTCTGCAACCTTGACCTCCATATCTAGGAACTTGAGCTCAACCAAGAAGAGGTCCAAGGAGGAAGGAAGAATAGAGAAAAGGAGAGAAAAACCTTGGAAATTAAGGTGAGAAGCTCTTTAACAACTTTCCTTTTCTCATTTATTTATTTATCATATGACTTATGCATCATGCGGAGGACCCCTATAATTGTTCTACATGTTTAGAAGTGTAGAATGAGGGGTTGGAACGTAGTTCTACGACCAAGAACGGACTTAGAAGCCACAATGACCGGTTCACCGGAAAATAACCTTTTAGAGGTTATTTGTATTAATATGGGTTTTGAGATGTTAAGACCTTGTTAGGGACTTGTCTAAGGTGTTCGTAGTGCTTTCATGGAGTTGTGATAGTTGTCGGAGCTATCATTGGAATTCAACGAAGCTCGCCGGAGTTCAACCAAGGAGGGTAGAACTTCTTAAAGCTTATTCGAGGTGAGTTGGTGGCTTAATGTCTTACAACTTTTGGGTTAAGTATGATATTACCTAAAGAAATTTTATATGTATACATGATGATGTTTAAAAGAGTTTAAGCATGTGATTAGCCAAGGTATTTAGGCTTATGTGAACTAAAATGGTATATTATGCATGTAATTAAATAAAAATGCATATAAAAACATATGAAGTTTTTTGAATGGCCAAAATGGCATATACATTTCAGAGCAATTGGAGTACGTTCGGGGGGGGGGGGGGGTCAACGGGCCGCTGACCCAGGGCAGACAGTGGATCGGCGCCGGTTTGGCCATTGTTTTGCCGGTTCAGCTAATTTGCAGGTGAACCGGCGCCGGTTTGACAATGAACCAGAACCGGTTCGGTCTCGGGTTTCGGGGTCGGTTTTTGATAAAATGCAAAACGGGACCCGGTTCAAGGTAGAACCGGCCCCGACC